TAACTTATTAATAAGTTTTAATTTGTATCAAATCGAATTAGATTAGCATTGACCCTATTCACACCCCCCCCCCCCTTTAGGGTGTTTTCAGAATTTACATTGAGTTTAGGTTTGATATTTCCCATTGTTCACAAACACCTACTTGAGCTTAAGTATTTCATACATAGTATATTGGGGTTGTGAGAGTGTAATATTGAGTGTGAGCTTAATTGAGTTCTCACCTTGTTTAGAGAACAAACATTTGTTATTGTGCTTATTTGTGAGATACACTTTGTAATACACTTGTACACCGAGAGGAGTGTGTGGTGACAGATGGAGTCGATTCTAAGAGGAGTGACGTCGGTAGCAAAGCCTAGGGAGAGGTTGTAAATCCGAGCACTTGAGGAAGGCGACATAGGCTAGGCCAACACTTAAAGCGTGTATAGTGTGATTACAAGTGTGTGAGATTGTGAAAGTTTTTAGTAAGCTAGAAAACCGATTGTGAGGTTTAAACATTTTGTGTGAATGTTGAAAACCCGTTGTGATAGTGGATTCTCCCCAGAAGTGGGCAGCGGAGACGTAGGTCGGAAGGACCAAACTTCGTGATCATCTTTGTGTGTTTGTGTTGATTATTTTCTTACTATCTCATTTGTATTTTAGTTTATGTTTATATCGCCCTTTGTTTATATTGCATATTCTTGCTCATAACTAGTTGTATATCATACTTGCAAGAATAAATTGTTAATAAGATTTAAATTGGCATTAAAATAGGATTAGATTAGCACATTATCCTATTCACCCCCTTCTAGGGTAATTTCAAAAAGTTCTTTAATTCTATGCCTTATTTCATGTAACTCATCATTGTCACTATTCAAAGCCTCTTGTGCTTCTTCATCCGTGGATGCAGTTGAGTTGTCGCTAACATTTCCATCCTTTTCACCCACCTTTCCTTGTGTAGCTTCATTATCATTAGCTTTTTCATGAGGGCTATGTAGGTTGTCTAAAAATCACAATAGATACCTGATCCCCCATCAAACACTGATGATGGAAGTTGCAATTCGACGGCTTCCAAAAGGCTACAATTTGAAGATTTTCACGTAGATTGCTGAAGGTTACAATCTGACAACCTTCACAATATTTGATGAAAACTCTAATCAACAGCCTTCACAATCAACATCAGGAGTTACAATCTGATGACTCTCATATTTCAAAGGAGCCAAGACGAAGATTCCAAGATGACGGTCTTTGCAACACTCCAGCAAAAGAGACCACAAATTGATGGTCTCTTCACATCAAAACACAGAGGTCATCACTGCGTTTCACCATCAAAATGCAGAGGTCATCCCTGTGTTATACCATCAAAACACAGAGGTCATACCCATGTTCCAGAGTCAAAACACAAGGGTCATCCCCAGCATTCAAGTCCAGACGCAGAGTTCGTGGACTTAGAAACACAGAGTTCATGCAGAGTCTAACTCTGCGTCTCAGGTCCAAAACACAGAGTTCATGCAGAGCCCAACTCCGCGCCTCAGATCCAAAACGAGGAGTTCATCTCTGTGTCCCAACTCTGCATTTTAGATTTACAACGCAGCGCGACCTGTGCGTTCAGCCACCAACATAGGCCCAACTCTCCGTTTTTAGTCTAAAACGCAGAGTTCGGGCCCTGTACGCTATTTTTCAGCATTTGACTCGTTCAAAGCACGAATTGGACGGTTTTAAAACCGTTCTCCCCACAATTTGGGGAGCTGTTTAAGGGGGGCGGTTACATCCCATTCAGCCCCACTTAGGAGTGAATTAAGGGGGCGGTTATACCCCTTAATCCCCTATAAATAGTGGGAAACTCAATGGAGTTGGAGGGTTTTTTGGCTCTGGGATTGATCCTTCTTTTTGGGCAGCAAAGAAAAGATCTTCAGCTGACTTTTTAGGGGAATTGCCGGAGCTTCCTACAGCGACAAAGTTCCTTGGAGCCTTCGGCCTTGGCTTGTTAAACCGATTTTTGGTTAAATCAACTCTTTCATAGAGTTTCAAACTCGTTCAGAGTTATCAACTCATCAAGAGTTCTAAAACTTGCTTTGCAAGTTCTCCACAGCGTCAAATCGTGAGGAGGAGGTACCGTTCCAGCCAATCAAGACGTTCAGATCGTCAACGTAGAGCAAACTCAACGTGAGCATTCAAGGGAGGCACTCCATCGCTACCGTGAAGAACCCATAATTAAACAAAGGGGAGAATCCAGATCATTCTCCTCTCTTTTGTAATTGGAATCCAATTGTAATTAAGATCGAGAGAATATAAATAATTTTTTTTTTCATTTCTTTTACTACGAATTTTCCACCAAACAGGCTAACATAAGGTTAAGTAATTGATGCAGTCCTATTTATCCTTTCATTCATCTCCCCTTGGACTATGAAATCATCAACCAACCCCAAATCATCAAACTCATCATCATCCACAAGCTTAGCTGGTCCATTTTATATGTTTCATCCTCAACAGAATCATCACTTTCACCAGATGATGCAAGTTTGTTATCATTATGTGGCCTGGGAGAGAGGTTTTCAATTATTGGACTTCGTTGATTATTATTTGGTGGAGTTCTCCATGGGTTTTCATGTAAAGGACTAGGAGATTGGATTGTCATTTGACAATTTGGTGGGCTAGAAATTGGATTAGGATTTATGGGAATAGGATTTTCTGGGTTAGGAATTCTCCTCTTGTGTGTTAATTTTTTACTACTAGCAACTTTCTTATACTTTTTGGTAGTGCTGTGAATGAGATTAGGATTTTCTAGATTAGGAATTTTACTCCTCCCCCCTTTACCCTCCATTGAATTGTCCACATATATTGGTATATCAACAAAGTGATCAACAAATATCTCAACCACTTTGTCTTTACGAGCTTTTCTAGGCATTTCAGCCAATTCAAATTCAAACCTTAATTTAATCAAACCCCACATTCATGATAAGGAATAATACATGTAAAGCACATTGGAATAGCCATAACTTTCCACACATCGTCTAAGTAGAGGTAAAGTTATTGCATTTTCATCAATGAATTGCAAAGTAAAGCCTCCTCCAACATATTCAACTGAACCCCCACTACCAAATAATAACTGACCCCGTACCTAAACTTGACCATAATAGTCTCACCCATCTGCGTAAATTAAAAAGAAGATTTTAAAATTCATGCAATTTTTAACACCCCATGCCAAACTCAAGCAAACACTATCCCCAAATCCAGTAAAAAAATCATAACTTTCACAAATATTGCATGCAACTAAATTGTCAATAGATTAAACCCTAACTTCCAATTTAGTGTCTTCATTACCCATCAAATTCGTAATAAAACCAAATTAAACTCTAAATTTAAGAATTTTTACTAACCTCTGGAGACCACAAAAATAAATCAACATTCAAGTCTTAACTCTCCTACACGAAAAGATTTGAGCCCGCAGCGAATCTCTGGTACAAATTTGGTTCCTCTCTTTCCTTCTATTTCCCTTTCTCAGTGTCGATTAAGCATAATTATGATTTAGATTTGGGTAATTGTCCCTCCCACCTCTGTCCTCAGGCCCGGCCCAAGAGGGGGGGGGGGGGGGGGGTAGGGGGGGGCGACCGCACAGGGCCCCATTTCAAAGGGGGCCCCAAATTTTTAAAAATGCCCATAGTATATTTCTTAATTCTTTCCAATAAGTCTTTTGTTTGTTTAAAAAAGGGCCTAATAATCTAATACTAACCCACTAAATTAAATAATAATTTATGTCCATTGCCTAAGCCTAACTGCCTAGCATCCATGACCCATCTGATTTACATTTTACCGGAAATATACACCAATTAGTACTACAATTATGATTAGTTGCTCATTTGTCTCCTAAAGTTTAGGATATTCAATTTGAACTCATTAATTCCCAATTAACTATTCCCTATTAACTAGGAAACACACCAATAATGCTATCGTTTATAGTTCAACATTTATATAGAAGATGGCATCATTTTATCATTTCGGTGATTTCGCACAGGGCCTCAAAAAAGCTTGGGCCGGCTTTGCTCTTCCTCCATCTGTCTCTGCTACTTTTTCCCTCTTTGACCTAATTAGAGACGTTTTTGTCCTACCTAAATAACTTCCATGTCATCAAAGCTAAGCAAAGTCATTTTTTCGTTTCATTTAGACACGTTAACGTGCGCTCACGTGATAAAATTAGCAGTTAGATTGAGCTCCGGCGTCGGAAATACCAATTTGACATTGTTAAAATCATGTTATTGGCTAAATTGTCGTCGGTGTTAATTCATATGCTAAACTGGCACAGAGGTGTCACTTTACGCTAGCTAATTTGGTATTTTTAGCCCAAAAAATCCAGGGCTAACCCCTGACAACAACAAAACAAAGTCCCCGTTTCTTCCCCGAAATCCCTGGATCTGAAATCCAAACCGCCTTCAACCCAGTTAGCCCCACCCCCCTCCCAAATCCCCCCCCCAAAAAAAAATGCCCTCGTTCTCTGTCTTCCCGTCAATCCCTCCTTCCTCTACACTCTTTAATATCCGTCCTCTCCCTCGGCGGTACCGTACTACCTCACTCCTCTCGCTCCTCTCCACTCTTCCACAGCTACATTCACCCGATACCTCCCTCCTCCTCTCTCCGTCGCCACGCGCCCAGCGCGTCCAAGCAGGCTCCGTTACAAATCCAAGAATCCAAACCCAGCGCCATGCTTCCTTTCGACGGTCAAGGCCAGCTCCTCCGGGCTCCGCCTCTCTCACTCTCTCCTCCTCTCCCGCCCTTTCTTTCCTCTGTCTCCTCTCCTGCTCCTATCCTCTCTTTCCCTCTCTAACCTCTCCCTCCTCCTCCCCCCGTTACGCACTCTCCTATTCCCTCTCTTCCTTCTCTCTATCCTCTCTCCTCGCTCTCCTTTACCTCCTCTTCGCTTCAAATAAACAGCTACGCCCATCTCCCATTTTGCTCTCCACGGCCTCGCCTGCCCTTCGTGCTTCCCTCCTGCTCCTTCTCTTTCCCGAACGGTGTATTGTATTCAGCTGGGCTGTCTTGTCGTTCCGGCGCCGTTCCCAGTGCTCGCCGGAATAGTCGCATGTGTTTTGTTCTTCTCTCAGCGCCGCCCGATCGCCGCATCCTTTGCTCGGCACGACTCAGCTCACGTGGAACCTCGCCGTCGTCTCTCCACCCCCTCGGCCGCGGTCCTCTCTACCTCTCCGCCGTGCTTCACGCCACGGCGTCCGCTGCTCTGGTTCAACCCTGTTGGGTCGGGTCTGGCCTTATCGGGGATCCGGAGTCACAGGGTTGGGGTCTTGTTGGTCTCTGCGGCCCTCCAGGTTCTTGCGCTGAGACCCAACCTGCAAATGTACTTGAATGAGGCCGTTCTGTGCTGGTATCAGAGGTTGCACTCTGCGAGGGCACCAGACTTGGATTACGCACGGGCGAAGGTGTTCTTGCACAACCACTACGTTTGCACGGCGACGGTGCAGTTCTTGGGGCCGCCGCTCATGGTGATGGTCCTGATCGGAATTGCGCTTGTACGAGGTAACCTCTTCGGCGGCGTTTTGAGTTTCGATGACGATTGCTCGGATGCTGTGAAGGGCTGTGCTCTGTTTCTTGCCTGGTGGGCTGTTTTTGTCCAGGGGCTTTTGATGATGGGGAACGTTGGGCTTTTTCGATTCGGCCTCCTGTTCGTTTCTTGACTTCGAGATGAGCATTTTGGTGTCGATTGAACTGGGTTACGATTTAGTTGCATCATGCAGCTCTGCGGTGATTTCGTTTGTTTTTAAATTTGTTTGCATCACCCATGCTATTGTTTCGGAATTGGATATCAAAATCTGTAAGCTTCATTGAATGCGAACTAGCCAGTAAATTGGTTTGTTAAACTCCACGATACTTAATAGGAGGCATTTTTCTGAAGTTGTTTCTCTTTACAGTTGAGTACGCTTCGATGATCTATCTGCCCGCAGCCTTAGATGAGTCATTGTTCGAGGCTCGGTCCTTTCCAAAGAACCTTCGCCATTCAAGTTGGTGCTTGCTTTGAAGGTAGAAATCTCAATTGAAAAACTACATAGAAAATGTATAGTATGAACACACACCATACCTAGGATTTTGGAGAGTCCTGCATATCATAGTACGGTGCAGGAAAGCGGTTTCTTTCCATGCTCGTCACTACGACGCCAGCCGTGAGGTGACAATTTTTAGTTACGCTGATGCAGGGATATCTGGAGGTGTATGATCGGGGGATCAATCTTGAAAGGGAATTCCATCCATGTTGTGGTTTACATTGGTGCGTACGCTTGTTATCTGGATGTCCCTTGTGAGTAAAAGCCGGAAAATAGCTAGAATCTGCATGCTTCATTAAAAGTCACAAAACGTATGTTAACCCTAGAAAAGTTCGATGGACTCTGAAGTACACACTAGTAGAAAAACAACCAATCTAGACGGAACAACCTAGACGGAAAAAATTTTCGTCTAGGTTATATAAAACTAGACGGGAAATTTCCATCTAGTTTGATCCGTCTGGATTGGATCAAACTAGATTGAAAATTTCGTCTAGTTTGACAAACTAGACGGAATCACAACCTAGATGGATTTTCATCTAGGTTGACAGTAACCTAGACGGAAAAATCCGTCTAGGTTGCCTAGGACAACTTAATGCCCTAGACCAGCCACCCCCCCTCTCTCTTCTCTTACTCCCCCCTCCTTCTCTCTCACTCTCCCTCGTCCCCCTATCCCGATCCCCCCCTTCCCCTTCCTGGACCCTGCCGAGCCCTCCCGACCCCCCTTCCCGTCCGACGCCCCGGCCCTCCCGACCCCCGTCCCCCTCGCTTGGTAGCCCCCCTCCCCCCCTCCCCTCCCCCCGCCCCTCCCCTTCGCTTACGCAGCCCCCCTCTCCGCTTCCCTCTCTTCCCCGCTTTTCTAGCAGGCCAACCGTGACCACCGGCGTGTTCGTTGTTTCATCTGCTTAAAAGATATGATTTTTCTACTGAGCTTTATAATTTTTAATTTTATTATTATTTATTGTTGAATTTAGTTTAAAAACCCTAATTTATGATAAAAAAATAAACGAGTTCAATTATGAAAACCCTAACTCAATTAAAAATATGTTAAAATCCTAACTCAATTATGAAAACCCTAATTACATGTTAATTCATTTGAACAACACTAGTAATCATATTTTTTTTAAACACTTATAAACCCTAACTCAATTAAGTTTCATTCGTGCTATAAGTAGGTGTGATTATTTAAGTTTGTGATGTGAAAATATGTGAAATAAATTTTTTGAAAAAATAGAGTGATATATAACACATTATAATTTTTTATAATGTGTTATAATCCAATTTAAGTGAATAAAAAAATAACGTTAACACTAGACTTCCGTCTAATAATTACATCCAATTCTTTGGACTTATAATATATGATATACGACTCAGATTTGGGTAGGAGACGAAGTTTTCTCCCGAAAATAAGCGTTTATTTTATATTATACGAATAAAAAATTGGTACATTAATTCGTAATTATTGGATCTGTCCTTCTCGGACGGATTAGGAATATAGTAGTACATACGTCCAACTTTGTATACTTTGTATATTTTTATTCTTAAAAGTTTTGGCAACACGTATTCGTTGTTCTCCGTGTACAATAAGCGTATATTATTCTGCGTTTCGGATTATTGATGATACACATAATAACATCCGCACAGTGTACAGGGAGAACAGCGGGTAGGTACTGTCAAAATTTTTAAGAAATAAAAATATACAAAGTATATGAAGATGGATGTAAGCACTACTATATTTTTAATGGATAGAAGTCTTCGCATGACAACCGTTAGATTAGTGTAATTAGTTTCTACGTACGTTTTATATATATTTTATGTAGATAAATATTCATATTGTTAAATGATATATGAACTTATGTTTGATGTGTGTTGAGTGTATAAGAGTCATGGATGTACTAGTAGTTGTGAGACTAATCGTATTTAATAATCAGCTATAATTATAGATGATGATAATTCCTGACAAATCATGGATAGATATCCCACGTCATCATAGATTTCGTGACTATAGGCGTCTAAAAATGCCTATAGGTATTCGTACACAGCTTGAGATAAAGAGAAGGCGATGAACACTATTATCCAAGTCGAAGGGGATTATCCGAGTCAAAGAGGATCATCTGATGCTAACAAGCGCATGAAGCGAATTGGCGAAACGTTGATGACGTGGCGACGAACCACCAGAAGGGCCAACGCCAGGTGGCCCGTGTGCTCACCGGCCACCACCAAGTGGCTCACACGCTAATCAGCCACCAAAATGACAAACCAAGTGGCCCGCATGTTCACCGGCCACCTCTAAGTAGCCCGCACGCTCATCAGCCACCTCTAATTGGCTCGCGCACTCATCAGCCAGTTCTAAGTGGCTCGCGTACTCACCAGCCACACGGCAAACCAAGCATCCCGTGCGCTCACCGGCCACTTCCAATTGGCCCGCGCACTCATCAGCCAGTTCTAAATGGCCCACGTACTCACCGGCCACCGCCAAGTGACCCATACGCTTATCGGCCACCGTCAAGCGATCCGCGCATTCATGAGACACGCGAAGCGAATTGAGGAAGCGTACCAGTCAGCGAAACAATGAAATACACGTAAATGACAGAACAAGTCAAAACCCGAAAAACCAAGAAAGCCTCTGGCGGCCGAGTCGTGTCAAAACGACCCGGCCAGGCCAGTGGCTCCCTCGGCCATGGCCAAGCCACCAAGTGGTGATTCGGCCAGTTCCGATCTAAAACTAGTTTTTTTTCGGTTTTTTGCGGATTCTTTCAGGATTTGTTTATTTCTAAGCGTCCCAACTGATCTGATACTGTGGTTAATCAGTTACTAACTGAAGATAAGGAGGAATCCCTCGTTTTGATCCAAAAATCCCTCATCCGGAGCCTATAAATACGAGCTCGGGTGTTCATTTTTAGGGGGAGGAAATCAAGAGGGTGAGGTGCTGTCAAAATTGAGAGTGAAGCCATGAATTTCAGAGGGTTAGCAGATCTTGGCGAAGTTTTTCCATAAACAAAAAGAGAGTTCGAAAGATCTGAAACCCCTTTCCCCCATATTCCTCCGGATTTAAGCTTGGTCTTAAATCCCGAGAAGAGTCGTAATCTTGCTTGGTCGGGATTACCACTTCAGCGAATACTTCCTTCGTGAAGTAGGAGCTTTTATTTTCAATCTGTCAACCGGATCTGATCCGTGGCGGTCCACGGATATCAACGTCCCTGGCACAGGTAAAGATCTCACGCAAACAACAGGCGATAAACATCTGTTGTGTGTTGTTTGAAGGAATTGTAATATTATATTTTCATTGTATAAGAAGATCTTATAAAAAGATCAACTTTTTATTTATTTGAGTTTATTATAACGGCTAAAGTTGTAATAGATTCGATGACAATAAAAATAGCAATTTCTGACCCAAACACACTGGCGACCACAGTGGGAGCCAACAATTTCGCTACTGAAGCTGTCGTGTCACAACCACGGATCCAGATCCCGATTGACGAAGAAGTCGAGTACGAATTCGACCAACTGAAATTCGAGGAGTATATGTCATTGTCCTCCTCCAGATCCTCCGCCCCTCGCAAGCGTAAGAAGATCAAGTCCTCTGTTGCTGCTGCCATCCCGCCTTGCAATGCCCCTCCGGCCTCCAACGAGGCCGGATCTGCAGATCTGGACCCCTCCTCAATCATGGAGATAGCCGTTGTAGCTGCCCCAACTTTATCGAAAAGAGCTCGCCAAAGGAAGCACCAGTGCCTCGCGCGCTAATTCGCCAAGGCTTTGGAGCCTGTTGACGGGATCTGTTATGAGGCGGATCTAAAACTCATAAGGCACCAAGTGCCCCCAGCAGCAAACAGATGTCATCTCCTCCAAACCGACAGCGGATGAATGGATCCAAGTCAAACGGACCCGCTCAACCCTCGAGGAGTGTATTCAGAAGCGCCGCGTCTTGATTGCGCACGCACGGATTCTCGTGCAAGAAGCGCAGAAGTTGAAGTAAAAAGAGGTGATCAAGAAGCCACCAAAACCACACTAAGTCTGGAAACCAAAGTTTGAAACGGCGTCGACAAAAAGTCAAACAGCACCAGGAACTGCCGGAATACGGGAACCACCATCTGGTGGCTCGACCAAAACCGAGCCACCAAATGGTGGCTCCCCCAGCCGAGATCCACCAAATCGGTTCGCGTCCGGTTTGGTTCGGTTCGCACCTGGTTCGGTTCGGTTCACACCCAGTTTATCTCCCGCAGTCCCGTTTGAGTCTCTGACAGCTCCTATTCCTGTCCCGATGAATCCCGCACTTCCGGTGAAGCCTCACGACCACAGAGACTTATCCCATTTCAAGATGAGGATGGCAGATCGCCTTGATCCTTTGTACGAGGATCAAGGCAATGTTCCGATCAAAGAACACTTGGGTCCAGTGACTGAACCACAAACAACCACTCGAACTAAGGGTCGCACACACTCTCGCAACAAGTTAGAGCCTTCCTATAATGGGAAAACCCCTGCACTTGACCACCTCGAACAACGATTTGAAGTCCAAGAGCCCGTCAAGAGTTCACGCTCCCAAAAGCGTAGCTCCAAACGCGTGACTTTTAAGAACGCCAATAAGGCAGCAAGCTCTCAGAAGGAAAAGTGTTGGTCAGACAATGGCGTTATACCTGAGGTGTCGTTCCAACACACGATAGGTTGCTCCGATCATCTGATCGACGAGTTGTACTATCGGGCTGGGGGTACGAACAAGTCTCGGAAGAGAAGTACCCGAGAAATAGAATCTCACTGTCCATGCACCAAACTAGTCAGGGTAGTATTATCAGCGTGTAGCTGTCCTAAGACCGCTCCTCAGAGGGTCTCGGTATTCGAGAGGATCTCCAACGGAATGGC